TAGGCTTCCGAAGCACTACTTTTGATCAACGCAGCATTTCTATCCCACTCTTGAAGACTCACATGAAGTGTGCGGGTGTTAGTAGATTATTGAACCACCGTTTTGCATCATTCCGGAAGAGTTCTTTTTTTTTTTNTTCTCTCCTACTCTTGAAGTCCCACACGGAGTGTGCGGGTGTAAGTAGGTTATTGAACCAGCGTTTTACATCATTTCGAAAGGGTTCTTCTTTTGAGCTAATCACCAGTTACTAGAGCCGGTTTGTGCCCTCTCATTCATCGTTGGCAGTGCTTTTGTATTTGAGAAAGAAATGTTCTTCGGTAAAATATTTTAAAGTAAAACTTGCGTAATATGGGTCTGCAACATGAGTGTTTGCGGGTTTGTTGAAACCTGGTCAACATGAATTGGTGCTAGGGTCAGTTAACCAGACATGGATCCAAGATTAGTCCTCACATTAGCATCTAATCGCAAAGCATGCTTATGTTGAGAGTCAGGTAGGGGAGTTTTTCTACTCATACATTTAAATTCTATCTTTGGGTGGAGGTAGAGTAGAGGTAAGTGGCGTACTATCACATAAGCATGCTACGAGGATCGAACCCCGGCTCGATATCCGTCCAGACCGACGTAGCCTTTTATTCTTTCGGGGACGGTGAATTGGTTTCGAACTGTTCTGGGAGGCCAAAAACACTTACTTGTACATCGGCTGGTCACAAGAAGTTATTGGATCGGGTAATTACGCATTCAATATGCCAATTACGATTCTAAATGAAAGTCGAATGCGGGACGCATACTAGACGGGAACCCAAACGTGAACAACAAAAACTTTATCGTCACTCTTTATAGTCCTAGTTTAAGGAAATCGTATGGGGGCACATAATTAAGGAGAAAGTCGTCTGTAATTTTTTACGCCTTTGGAAGCAAAAAATAAATGAAGAATGTTTCGATCCGGGAAACCTTCTATGATTGAACTTGTTTTTCAGGTCTGGTGAAGTTGTTTTTGAATCCTTAGAGCAACTGTTGAACAGAGCTCGAAGGCCAGTGTCAACCTGTTCTAGAGGGAGAGAGGGACGGGGGTATATATTGATCCAGTAGCCGTAGGAAATACGACCCAAAACTTATTTCCAACTAGAGGTAGTTATGGATGAAAGGAAAATTCAGAACATAAAAAGCCTCCCTGAGAATATCTGGAAACAACAAAAGATCAACATCAGTGCAATTCAATAAACAAAAACAACCGGCTGAAGGATGACCGTCTGCCTTTGAAACGGATACCCGGCGCTTCATTGTTTCGAAACCTGCATAAAAGTTGTAACAGCTACTGATTTGGCTATTTGATATTTATAAATACGTTTGATGTACCCCTACGGCTCTGATTATGAGTCGAATTTTTGCATAACGTCTCCCTCTATTTCCTCCCCGGGGAAATTCTCAATTCCAGAGCGGGATGGGCATTTCCATTAATATTCTAGTCATCTCCTTTCTTTACTCCCACATGCCACTGTTTTTGTTTCATTGTGATATTTTCCTCTCGTATGTGGATCCATTAGTCCTTTTCTTCCTGGATTGAGCTTTAGTGCGGATAAATGTTAAGCCTCATCTGACGCAACTCATTCAGTCAGCTGAGGATGTATTGTTATAAAGGATGTAATTTAAATAGACGGGTTCAACAATTATCTTCAAGAACATCACTGTCCAACTTCGGATTCTATGTATTCATTAACGCTAATCAGGTGACAGTATATGGAAATATGAAGTGCAGTCGCCTGTCGCTTGACGCAACCCTCATATTGAATAATTCTTTCCAGCTTTGAGTATGCCATCATTAAGGTTGATCGTCGTGGAACAAGTTCGCGGCGCGGTAAACGCCTCGCCGCTCAGTCGAAAACGCACCCAACAATTCAGGCCAAACAGAATCAGGTATCATTTTACACTTCACCTTGTTCATATTTTCCACTTCGAGTTAGTGTTCCATGGTTGTTATTTTTTTCAATCAACTTGTTAGGGAAAAAAGCAGTATGTAACCTGAAGCGCCGTCAACAAGTTCTTTGATGTGTGGGATTATATTGTGGCTATGCTTCTAATGAGTTAAAGACACAGTTCACGATCATTTTGGGGTATTTTATTCGAGATTTTGTGATAGTTTTAGACGAATAGTGGAAGTCATGGTCCGGAATAATGGAAAAGTGGCGAAAAAAAAGAACGGGAAAATCGGCGTATTCAGAGAAATATAAAATTACAAACAAGTAGTTAAATTAGGGGATGGACGTGAATGTTGACAGAAGTTGCATGAAAGGGTAATTGGATGAGCTGTCCAAATGTGTGCCATTGCGCACAGCTGGCTGCGGTTCGCTAGCTTTTGGGTGTATATGTCGGCTAAAACGGTTTCGAGGCCCTCCGCCACATCTAGGCCGTTCGACCCGACAGTGTTCCTTGCGCTACCCTTAAAGGTCACAGTTTCGTTATAAGGACAAACTTCAGAAAACACTTTTATCGTGAACTGTTCCATTAATATTCGAATTGATCATATTATATCAAAACAAATTAGAAGAACAGAAAACCTAAAATACCATCTTAAGTTTGTGCGACTTGAATCGGGTTTGATCTCAATAAATGAATTAATTAACCGTCTGCTGGGAGCTACTCGACGGGCGCGCTCATCACGTCATCATTTTTTTGGAGTTAGCGAACCACAGCTTGCGGTATTCGCGCTCTCGACGCGGACCATGGTACCCTTGACGCGCGGCAGTCGGCTCACGATGGCTCGTCTATCAGGAAAAGGTGCTGTTCTTTGTGAAATTTTTCGTGGCACTATAAAAGAACTCAATTAAATGAATGTTGAGTACGTCACGTAGCAAGTTTAACCAGATTAGCATGCCTTATGCGCTTTCGCCGCATGCCGCTTTTTCAATTCAATGGCTTCAAGTACTAAAGCAAGAATTAGCTTCGATTCTGTTTACAGTATCCAACATGCTGCATTGTTTTTCCTATATACTCGATTCTTCCAAGAACGAACCCATGACCTCAGATAGTAAGGATCAGTTATCTCTATGTTCTTAACCTGCCACTCTCCTTTCGTGTTCTTGATGTTCAGGTTGTAACTAGGAGTGCCTTACAACTAAACAGGGGTTTGGGCCCAGGGTAGGGAAGCCACCGTATAGACACGCCGTATATATAACACCGCAATCGCCTGCAGCATCCATCTGTCGAGGTCGCCTAAGTCAGCTGGGATCTTCTGAATTCATTTCACGGGGTTTCGTTCAGGAGTAATGAAAAATGTAATAGAGGAGGTGAAACGAATGATGGGCTTTGATCAGATCTGTTTCATGCTGTCATACGCATTGATTGTAATTCGGTTCAGAAACGTTTGACACTAGAATGATTATTCGATAGCATAGCCTAATTTTTAGAAAAGACAATCTTTTCCCGTCCTCAGTTATAAATTTGTACTAGTCAGTTTACTAAAATTGGATGGGATGTTAAGTCCCTGGACTAAGCATATGTTTGCCATTCCTCTTTGACCATGTCTTTTTTCACAACAGAAGCCTCAACAAATTTGTGGGGAAGTACAATATCAAGAGAGTTCCGACATATATGTGGCTTAGTAGGTGCTGTAAATGTGCATTAAAATTTTGTAATTTTTGCTCAATTCAATGGACTCTGGACTGGACTTCTGGTGTGATAAAGAATTAAAAGCTATCTCGTGGCTCCTGAAGGCTTCGAGACTGTTCCTATGAGTGGGAAGTATAATTTTACCATGTTTTCCTCCTGTGGAATCCACAGTATTAGCGTAGTGTCATTAACCAAACTGGGAGCTAGACAAGCAAAGTTTATTGCCAATCACCTTGATTTCGTTTTCGTCGTTTATCATATTGGCTATGAGCTATACTAGTAGGTATTCATAATTACACATACTTTATGACTATACGTTTTTATTTAATGCTCGAGTTGTTTTTCGTTTTGAGCGCATAAAACCCTAGTCAAAGACAATGAGATTGGTCCATTTTGTCAATTATTACACATAGATTCAGCATATACCCTCTTACTAATTTCTCATGAGTCATTCAAAAGAATTCAACTGAAAGCGTTGGTTATTGCATGCACGTCATTTTTCACCCAGGTTCATTCTTTTTCAGTCATTACTGTCGGGATAATGATGAGGGTGGAAACGGCACAACTAGAGTGAACGCAATCCTTAGAAGTAGCCGTGATATAGCTTTACCAGGAAATCAGACCTTTACAATTCATCTTAGCTTCGACCTTTTTCTTCCTATTTGAAAATCCGAAACACTTCTAGTTTTTGACTTGAGTTTGCCAGTCCTACCCCCTCTCTCCCTCTCACGCTTTTGTGGTCGTCTCGAGGAAACATTTGAAATTGAGCAATGATTGGTTCAGACTGACCTGGGCTCCCACTTATGGTGACTGCTGTAGTAGCGCACCAATAACTTCTTGGTTTCTACTTTATTTAAGTCAGGCTTTTCCAGATCATGCTGGTGCCCTTGTTACATCGTTATTGTTGAGTTATTGTGCATGACAGGGGAATAGTGAGGGAGAAATTGATTCGTTGAGAGCCGTGTGGTGAAACAAGCAAGTAGACGACCTCAGTAAATAATTGAACATGAGTAAAGTAAGGAGAGGGAGGTACCTTCAAGGGGGGATGATATGTTGTTATAGTTGCTTCTGTTTCTCTCTCACGTTTCAATGTAATATGATAAGTTCGAAGACGGACTTCCTAGAGGCCTAGTCACCGTGCAATTCCCCACACCGAAGGTCCTGTTGGCGGTGATTCAGACTACAGAATACGTCCTTTTCTAACACTTTGAGTAAAAAACTGCATTATTTGTTATTATGCAATTAGTATGACCGGATTTAACGAATTTGAATTAGAACGCTCTTTCAAGGGTCACTTTGGAGAAGTACCAAGAGTTTGCCTTCTTCATCGTTTTGGCTGTTTCTTTGCCTTTGGCCGTGCTTATTAGAATGTAAAAGAACTATAAGTGCATTAGGTCATTTTTGCGTGGGTGAACTTGATGACAGCGGGAAGCCGAGCTGGGCGTCTGGCTATAACCTTCGCCTAGTTGCTCAAGGACGGACATTATGAGGAGTTTTTGTTGCGACGCAAGAATGTTCATTAGTTTCCCAATCGCTTTCGTATCCATCTGCTTGATCTATCGCAAATGGACATTCAAACTTTTTTGTATTTCTTTCCACCTTACTTTTTCCGTGTGTTGGTTTCCTTATGAGTGTCAGTCCAACCCTCGAATGCAAAGGTTTTGGTGGTGTGTCGGTCGCGTCACTGAATAATTTCATATGTGGACATTGTTACAGATGTATTTAATCACAACGCTTGCACCGGCTCCGAGCGAACAGGCTCTCATCAATAAGATGCTACCCAAAGAACTGATTTTGCGGTGAGAGTTTTCAATTTACCCATTTGATCCAGTATTGATTCGCTGGAAACGTTCCCTTGTTGATTTTTTTCTACTTAATTTGGCTTGACAAGCTATCTCATCACCGTGAGAACTTGACAATTTGTCCCGAGGGTCTGGGCGTGGTAAATGTTCAGTACAGTAGGAGAAAAAGATCAATTTATAGGGGTGTACCGGGAGGGTGTGTAGCCCTGACGGTATGCTGGCTTGGAAGTGGCNGTGGCAATGGGATAAACTGGAGCGAAAACAGAGTTGACTTTTTGTCTGCTGCATACTTTAAAGTTTTTAAACTGATATTGTCTCCTCATTTGATCTATTTTCCAGGATTTTCTCTTATTTGGATATGAAAACGCTATGTCGATGTGCGCAAACATGCCGTTTATGGAATGTGCTCGCACTTGACGGTTCCAATTGGCAACGGGTCGATTTATTCACCTTTCAGAAGGATGTCAAGGTACGGTGATTTACTAACAATAAGCAGTTTTCTTATGGTTCTTGCTCATAGATCCATTTATTCTTTTTGGGAAAATGACTTATTCACTAACGTAACAGTGCCGTCAAGTCTTGAGTCCGTTCGTGAAATACATTTCTTTGATGTCCAGACTAAAACTAAGAACCATAAACAGCGGGAAAGGCAAATGTCTCAGCATAACCAGCTGCGTTGAAGCCGTCTGCGAGTACTTGCGTACACGTTTGATGTAACAGCTCGATGAAAACGATTGCTCTCTTTGTTAGTGGCCCTGCTTGATGTTAATTAAAGCGTTTTCTACCTCTGTTTTTCATCATTGGCTGCTTTCATAGTCCGCGATTTGGCTCGCGAGCGAGCGAGCGAGCGATTGGGGCGGCGCTTGCCCCTTGTTTACAACTGAATCTTGGTCGATACCGCCGGACGAGTATCTTCCGGCTGACTCGCGCGCTCGCACCCGGACTATGAAAGCAGCCAATATGTGCAGTATTTATCCATATGCTACGTCATAAACTGTTCTATGAAACAATCTAATCGTAAGGTGCATAATTGGGCAATTACCTGTTCATTCTATCTTTTATCTTATCTTATTATAGATTATACATCAGCTGTTAATCGCTTGTAGGCCCAACCACCATCCTTGGCTATAACTTTTTTTCTTGCTATGGTCTCAGGATTTCGTTCCGTACACTTATATGACAGGTTTATTTAAGGCAGCTACCGTTGAGAACTTGGCTCGTCGTTGTGGTGGTTTCCTGAAAAAACTTTCACTCAAAGGATGTGAGAATATACAGGCTAGTTTATGGATAAATATCGATTTTTATCGTTACTCTTTTGTTTTTGCTGCATTCAGTTGTTCTCGCGAAGAATGTGAAAACCAGCAAACATCGCAGGTTATATTACAATGGCGCCTTTGTTCTGTACATAGTACACTTTGATTGCCATTTGGATACCGCAGAAGCATTTAGTTGTAACTTTATCCTCCAACTGTTCACAGCCTTTTGGGGACAGTGATTATTGTAGTTTTTGAACTACACAATTTAGGATTCGGCGTTACGGTCTTTCACAGCTAAATGTGCCAATATCGAACATCTCAGTTTGTACAAATGTAAACGAGTGACAGATGCGTGAGTTTTTCAAGTATAAATTTGTTTTGTTGAAGGTAAAAACACATATAGTAAAATGTGCGATTGTCCTTCTTTGATTAATACCATAAGAAACATCATTAGATAGGATTTCTTTTATAAGTCATTTGTAGTCGGAAGGATTTGGCTAACTGAGCTAATTTTAACTGTGCTGATTTAGTAAATTTCTTTGTTGAAACCTTGCGCTCATATCTGCACTGGCACTCATGATTTCAGAACTTGCGAAAATCTCGGAAGACATTGTCATAAATTGGTTCATTTGAATCTAGAAAATTGTACAGCAATTACCGATCGAGCCCTTAGGTATATAAGGTGGGTTGAGTTTTCTTTGTTTTGGTTAGTCATTTCTTTGCCTAAATTGGATGAGGTTTTTCGGTTGGATATTTTCCACTTTCATTCGCTTTTCTTGAGTAGCGTATTTCATGGAACGTAAGGTTTGGTCCACAAACATCCGTCCTCATAACTTTTGGATGCAGTCCAAAAATGCAGGAGTTTGAGAATGTAGGAATCAATTACAGTGATGGATGCTCAAATCTGCAGTATTTGAATATCAGCTGGTGTGATAATATCCAAGACAAGGGTGTTCAAATGATACTAGCTGGTTGCAAAGGTCTCACAACCCTGATTATGAAAGGATGCGAGGGTGTAAGTGAACGTTGATCCTTTTCTCACCCTTCTTTCATTGCAACGTAGCACAAGGTATTTTTCTTCCAGTTGACCGAGCAAGTTTTTGCTAATTCAATCGATAACATGAAAAACTTGGAAGTGATCAATTTGCTATCATGTTTCGTAAGTGATTCATGCTTATTGGTCGGTGGTCTTCCCAATTCAGTTTTATTGAGTTTTCTTAGGCGAACGATGAAACAGTATCACATATTTCTCGCGGCAGTCCTCATCTACAGTATCTATGTTTGTCAAACTGTACACAAATCACCGATCGATCATTGATTTCATTATCACAAGGTTGCAAAATGTTGACGTGAGTTCTGCTTATTATTTTCTTAGGTGTTTCTCTTGTGTTTCCTTATATTATTAATATGCTATTTTATTTGTTTTCTTTATGTATAGGGAATCCTTTCAACTGCTTCTATGCGTTATCAATAGTTAAGATGGGTTGGGTTATGCTCTTCTAAATTCCCTCATCACTTTAGAAGGAACGTGATATTCGATCATAGGAAGGACATAACTTTTCTGGAAGAAGTTGATCTCGCCATCTTTAAATTTCCGGCACTATTTATCCTTTACTGCCCCACCTTGTCGAGAATGGGCTGGATTTCTACCGAATTTTTTCAAAGAAGATGAAACCGGCTAGAAACTTGCCTACAGGGGTAATTTGACCCGTAGAACACGAATATTGCATCCATTTGTCATAAAGATGCCTACCGCTTGCGCTACAGGCGCCTGCGCCAAATCGCTGGGTCACCGCCTCTGCTGAAAACTTGCAACTAACTAGGGTCCCATTCGTTTTCATGATGAGTGGATGCGATATCCGTGTTCTACGGGTCAAATTACCCCTCTACAGAAGTTTCTAGCCGGTTTCATCTCTTTGANAAAATTCGATAGAAATCCAGCCCTTTCTCGACAGAGTGGGGCAGTAAAGGGTAAATAGTGCCAAATTTCCTCCTCACTAGCGCGGCTCACACAACAAAGGCTACCCATAGAACAGAGTAAAACATGAAAGGAATGAAAGGAACGCCCAACTATGAAAGGAATTTCAGAGACATCGAGCTGTCTGGTTGCAGTCTGCTTTCGGATGCAGGTTTCACACAGCTGGCTAGGCACTGTAAAAATTTAGCGCGTATGGATTTGGAAGATTGCAGTCTCATTACGGATGCCACGATTCACTCGCTTAGCACCAATTGTAGTAATCTGTCAGAATTGGTAGGTTTAATGGTTAAGTTTACAGCCTATAAGAACTATGTTTTGGGATCAGTTGTGATGAGTTCTATAAAATAGCCACTTGTTTGTATCCCTTCTAAGCATCCCTACTCGGTTGATCTTTTCTTCTTCTATTTTTTGAAGTTTAATTGTGTTCGATTTCAGAGCCTTTCACATTGTGAGCTAATCACGGACGAGTCAATTCATTGCCTTTGTACCAACAACAAGGAGAAGTTGCAGGTATATTATTCTTCTATTTTTATACCTAATCTTTCATATTTGCGGCGTGACTATGACAGTATTATGTGGGGCGTAGACTTACGTTGAGAAATGTTGCAAAGAAGTGCATCTTTTTAAAGTTCAGCTCACCACCTTTGATCGGTTGCCTAAGAGTAAAGTCAATTTTGGACATTGGGAGATTTTGTTAGCCTGTGAATTGAGTACAGCACGTATTTCATATTTTAGGCTGCTCAAAAATTCAAATTTAGCTGTATAAGTCTCCGCAGTCTCCGCTGTTTCTAACTAACTGGCCAAAAATGAAATTTTGCATGGCATATTCACTGAAAGTTTCTGAGGCGGTAATTACTGTTTAGACATATTTGCCACACCCCCATTCTCGACTGCCATTTACTTCGCTTTAGTTCATAATTTTGTTTGTGTAGCGCAGTTAAAAAGTAAATCTTCTGTGCACTTTTACGAGAATGTTGCTGAGGCCAACGCCGAGCGCGGTATTGAAAGGGTATAGTTGACCTACAAACTTTGCACACTATCTTTGTTCCTGTCTTCAGCAAAAAGTTTCAGAGGTCACGTCATCGTTTTGAATTTTTTGTTCCAGCACAATGTTCAGCGTTCTTATTTTGTAGGTTTTGGAACTGGACAACTGCCCGCAGATTACCGACTCGGCTCTTTCACACATGCGGCACGCGAAGGCGTTGAAGCGTATCGACCTCTACGATTGTCAGAACGTTTCAAAGGAAGCCATTCAGAGATTCAAGGTACGCTTCTTTCGGATAAACACATTCTGCTCTATTTCTCGATTTGCTTGATTTTGTTTATGCCCTCAAGTTCCGATTTCAATTTAAGCATCATCGACCGCACGTAGAAATCCATGCCTACTTCGCTCCAGCCACACCACCGGCTAATCCATCTACAGCCCGTGCAGGTATCAGCATTTCGCCATTCTTTTTTTCTTGTATTTTCATTTCGAGGCTGTATACTAACATAGAATTAACCTAAAGTTATAGAAATAGACAATACTTTTTGTTAACTTGGCTGTTAAGAAGATAAATGGTTGTTGCGCGTGTGATTGTGGAGCAGCTCAGTGAGTTCCATTCTCCCGACTAGAAATTGTTGGTGACACCTACTTGTTCATTCACTTTCCGAATCCGACAACATTACTTGTTTGTTCGTCTGATCAATGCGTGGTTCCGTTCATGTCTTCTGTTTAATACTAGTTTTGACTTATCAAGGTGGTAGAATGAGGGTGGGGGAGATCCTTTCTGCAATGGCTTTTCCTTTCATTTTTGAGGCGCTTACACGACCCTGATTGTGGTATAGAACTGTCAATCGAAAAGCCTTCTTCGCAAAAAACTTTCAATTCGGTAAATCCACGTGTTTTTGGTTTGAGCAAATCGAACTTTTGGATAGCTGCGACTAAGACGTACTCAGTAGTTTCAGGCATTTCGGCAGCTTCAGTCCTTTTTTAACCGAATCATCTCATGGGAGGATTCCCCTGAAAGTTTAAAAATGTAAAGTATCTGAAAGAAGTATAATATTTTTCATTTTTTCGGTCCCCGTATCCGAGTCCGGTCCTATAGTTCGTGAAACGCAAAAACCCTGGCTGCTTTGGACTAACCGTAAGATCTCGTGGACAATTTATGTCCACTGCCGACGTCTTGTTTCGTGTGCAAGGTATTTGTGCATTGCAGGAAAAACTTAAATGTAAGTCAAATACGAACAAAGTTTTATATACCTAGATTATGGAATTCATGGTATTGATTTCATTGTTAAATATCCTAGAAATTCTATGGTTTATGCGATTCGAGCTTGACTTTTTTTCATTTGAGCGGACATTGAATGCCTGAGCTGCTTCGCAACCGCGCGCGCCAGTAGCGTGGTGACTTCCAATCTGTTACCCGCATGAAAATTGAGTGTGAAATTGTGCGTGTCACATTAGTTTAATAGGTATTAATATATGAAAATTGAACTAATTCAAAAATTACTGATTATTTTATTAATTACAGGTCTGTGTCGATGTTGTGCCATCTTATGACTAAATGTCTGTGCCCTGTTCTTCGCTCTCTATAATCGTCTCACGCATCTGTTCTGATTTCAACGTGCTGTATATAGGAGATCACTCAGTATCATAGGAAAATAATTCTTTAATTTTTACAGTATCCATTAGTGAATCTAATTAAAGGTGGGAAGATTGAAATATTTACTGTTTTTTGCTAACAGTACGAAGTTTATCGATCATAAAACGCTTCCATTGTAGCCCTTATATAAGTTATAGGTTATAAGGAACCATATTCTATATTTAATCAAGGGAATTTGTATATAACACATCCAGTAAAAAATTCACAAACACCCTTTCTAACCCTTAATTCATTCATCTTATCCTGCCACCGGGCTCATTCACCTTGGTATCCCTTCAGACCCTTTTTGTCCCCATATTCTAATCACTGTCAATTAGTCATGAAAATCGGGGGGTGTTGTACCATCGTTTCTTTTTTGTGAGTAAACACTCCCTTCTAGATGTATAGCTTTCCACATAATCCTATATTTTATGTAAATGTATAATGTATTATAACACGAAAAGTTGAATTCACTTGTATGGATGATGGGGACTGATTCTCGATCTCCTTATTCAAAAATCCCAGTTTTCTTTTGAACCCATTAAGTCTGCACGTTGAAATTGGACCACTCGGCGTCTCATCTCTGTTCATTTTTGCTTTATTTCATTTCATTCTCTCTCTATTTCCTTCTCTCTGAAGAGCAGGGCACGGTGACCTGTGTC